TTTCAGTATCTTTTACATGTGCGAGTTGTAGTAGAACCAGTTTTAATGGATTGCAGCTCGTGGGAGGGACCTGAGTTTGATACTTATTGTTCCCTCGGACATGTGGAACATGTCTGTAACTGGTGTGGGTGTCTTGCGGTCTGCTGTGGTTTGGGGTTGGCCAGAAAACAGATGCAGTCTGCCATTCATGCATTATAAGAGCTGCGGCTGATTCAAGTGTCAAATATGATGGAGTGGCTGACTATGCTGCCAGTTTAAGCTTGCCATGGTTGGCTAGCCGTGCGGCTGACTGAGTATGCAGCTCCTCGCTCCTCTCTCCTCTTTACACGCAAACTAAATGCATCGTTGAATCCAACTCCTGCAAACAGACCAGTTTAGTTGGATTTTTAGAAAGAAAACTTTTTCAACTTAGATTAAAAAAGCTTCTATGATTGGAAAACACGAGTCAGAAACTCATCCAGGTAGATTTATTTGAATATATACATATAAGAAACCGACAAACAACCATTCAGCTGATACATGTTTAAAAGGATCTGTATCAATACGGGCCGATCAACGATCATCTGGCATTTAAACAGTTGTTAGAAATGTTCAGCAGCTACGTAAGTGTGTGAGTGACTGTAACACTGGACGGTGTGGGCAGACACAATGGCTATGAAGGATTTTTAGAAAATGAGCTGAAAACGTCCAAGCAGGCCACCCACCAGGAGAGTGGGTCTGAGGAATGCTTTTTACTGGATTGCTTGTCTTGTCGCTCCCCTGCCCCCCTCCTACAGTGTGTGTGTGTGTCATAGAGTCAGGAACACCATTACATACATTACCTGGAAGAGAGGAGTGTGTGTCTGTGCATGTGAGGACTGCTGAGTGAGCGTGTGCGTGTAGTCAGCATGTTTTTGTTTGCCTGGACATGGATTTTCCATATGCACTGTGACCACTGCTGTTGTGGTTTTGAGTTGGTGGTTCCTTTCTTTAAAAAAAAAAAAAAATCCATCTTGCTGACAGACTGTTCAAGGAAAGACCGCACAAGAACGCCTCTTCTTTTTCGCATAGTTACAACTGAAATAATTAGTAGATTAGTTAAAGGTGCAATGTGTAACCATTAGGATGATATAGTGGCAGAAATTGAGTATAATATTCATAGGTATGTTTTCATTAGTCTATAATCACCTGAAAATAAGAATTGTTGTGTTTCTCCTTCACACTTCACAGCCCATTGTCATTCCCAGGTTGTCAGATACAGACATGAGTGGTGTTCAGTTAGTTGCAATCTGAAACTTTACCGCTAGATACCACTAAATCCTACATACTTAAGCAGCCCATCGAGAGTTTGACATTGTTTATTGGAGTGCAATGCTAAACAATATACCAGTTCACCAGTTCCAGTTTCTTATATGTGAAAATTTACTGTTTTTCTTCGTACTTTATGATGGTAAAATTCATATATTTGGACACAGTTTGCATATCTTAGCTTTGGCCTTTATAAATTATAATGAGCATTTAAAAAATGTATAGACTGACCAAATAATCCAGAAAATGATCAGGTCAGATTTATGGTTAATTTAATTAGTTGCAGCTCTGTTGTGAGTCTAGATGAAGCTCTGAATCAAGAGTTTTATTGTCATTGTCTTTGTCAAGCAAATTACAGTTTAAATCAGGTGGCAGATATAAGTAAAATACCAAATATACAAATACCAAGAGGTAGTCACTTTTTAGTATTAAGATTAGGGTTGCCACGAAATATTTTTAATATTATAAATAATTTAAATTAGATTATTATGCAAGGTGTCATTAAAAACGTCAATACTATGGCAAATGTAAACAAAACAAAAATACTACTTCTAAATATATTTCCTTACTTGTATTAATAACATTTGTATTTAAACATTTTTAATCATTACATTAGACTCAGTATTTCATTTTTACATTATAAGCATTTTTGTTTAAATTATGTTTTATAATAAAATAATATGTATATTTTTTATTATATTATTATTTTCCCACACCTTCCCTCAAATTTTCTGAGGCCCTCCTGGTCTCCCCCAAGTTTAAAAAACACTGATCCAAAGGGAAAGGGACAAATTGGACATATATACATTAGTAATTGAGGGATAGTGTATAACTGTGTGTAAAATGTGTCCTTTTAAATATCTTAACTGTGATGTTCAATTGTGATATTGATTGTGTTTGTAAGAGAAAAGGATTTACAAAATACATCAATCAAATACATAATATATCAGTGATCTGTGTGTGTGTGTGTAAAATAACGCCCTGTGAGCACTGTGAGTTTGCCACCACTAGAGGATGCTTTACTTCTAGTTTACTTCTAGCAGCAGAGTGAGAGAGACTAGGGCAGATAGCTGGCACTGTTTCATTAACAACCTTTTACAGGAGACGCCCTGTATCCACAATATCCACCTGCACACCTATGACAATACCAGTTACTGTAACTTGTGGTTATTTAAGCGTTTGTGGATTCATTTCACCTGCACCATGTTAAACAAAGTACAGGCTGTGTCTATATTTGCAGTTACCAGCAGAGCGACAGGCCACAGGGTGTGTGACTGTGGGGGCGACATGCTCTGATGCTGTTCAAAAGATCTGGCTGACTTAGTCTGCTGCAGGACATTACAGCAGACCCCCCCTAAACTGGACCAATGTCAACGCAGCACAGTGGTTAGTATGTGTGTGTGTGTGTGTGTGTGTGTGTGTGTGTATATGTGTATATATATATATATATATATATATATATATATATATATATAAAATGTGTGCATGTGTGTGTATAATGTGTGCGTATGCAGCAGGGTAGTGGGGGAGAGTAGGGGTTAAACTGTGTGCTGAAGAGAGGGTGTAGGCAGATTGACTGGTGGTGACAGATAATGGGTGGGGACCAAAAGGTGTCACTCACGTCTGATAACTGTCATACAGTTATGACCTGAGCTGGCTTATCAGTCACAGTTCCTCTTATCTCATGCACAAAAGGCATTATATACTACAGTATTTTAAAAATGTTAGACACTTAATTATGGGCTCATGTAGCTTGCAAAGTTGATCAGAGCATCACAACATTGTATTTTTTATCATCATAATTCAATAATTGCTCTTAAAGTAAAATGGTTAGGACTAATTCTCTTTAAAAAGTATGAAAGTATCCAGTAGTTATTTCTTGGAAGATTACAAAAATAGCAGGAAGATTTTACACAAAATATATCCAAAATACTACACAGGAACAATTCCTTTGGAAAACCTTTTATCTATTTAATATACGGAAGTCCAACTTAAATTATACATTAATACAAGAAGAAATTTCTTTATATGGTTAAGAGTTATAAACTGTCCATCCAGGAAGTTGGATTGCAACAATTAAAGGTCCAATGTGGAACGTTTAGTGCCATGTAGCGGTAAAAGTTTCAGATTTCCAACAAACTGAACACAGCTCGCGTCTGTATTTGATGCCCTTGGTATGAGAACGGGCTGTGAAGTGTGTAAGCACGTAAACTACGGTGCAAAAGGCTCCATTTACAGCCAGTAGCCTATTCTGGGCTACTGTAGAAACATGAGGCTAAGTTCAACATGGCGGACTCGATGAAAGTTGACATGCGGTGTCTGTAGATAAAAATGGCTCATATGGTGACGAAAACACTGATTCCTATATTCAGGTGATTATACACTAATGAAAACTTACGCATAAATATTATATTCCATTTCTGCCAGTAGAGCCTCCTGTTACACACTGGACCCGGACAAATTCAACCAATTTCTGTGCAACATTGCAATCACCACAACCTTTCCGCAAATTTGACCAATCATTGTAGTTTCCTGTGTAAAAAGAGCTTTAGAATGAGTTGCAGTTCATTGTTCAGCTGTTTGACCACAACTTTAGTGTTTTGTTTTACTTTACTTTTTGTTTTACTGTCACAAAACAACTCTTAGTGTTGTTTTCAGATAAAAGCGGCTAACACAATACAATAATTTAACAATACTCCAAGTGAAGTGAAACTTGGAGTATTATGAGTTAAAGTCTTATGTATGTATGTTAGAAAATGTTTAAAAGTATCAAACGTAAAAGTACTTTATATGTAGATAAATGACCTCTGTCTGTGTGACATTAACATTTCTAATCTTATTCAAGTATTTATTTGTGTGTAAATTGGATTTCTTATGTTGCAGTGGCTTGAGATGGAGCTTATTTCAACTAAATATATATTTGGGTAGTTTAGTCTGTAATGTTGCATTACATTATATACAATGATCACATGTTGTATATAAAAACGTCATCTACAAAGTAACTAGTGACTATAACTGTTTCATGAATGTAGTGGAGTAAACCGTACAATATATTCCTGTGAACTGCAACAGTAAATGGAAAATAGTAAAATGGAAATACAAGAACAATTTTGCAGTACCTGTGCTTCACTTTAGTGCAGAGCTTGAACAAATTTACTTTGTTGCCTTCACCACTGCTGATAGCAGTTGACTTACAGTGTTTACTACAGCTCTACTATAATTCTCTATTTGTACAGTACACGTTGTACAAAGTTTGCATTGTATATCCCAGTTTATGCGTGGTTCATATCTCTTAGAGCCTTTAAGATGCTTGAAGCTGTAGTCATGACTTTGAAATGTCTTAATAATCCTGTTAGTGCAACATTATCAGTTGTCTTGGAGGTACAAAAGAGATTTTCTTACCTGACCTATTTATTTCCAGTTGGATTCTTGCAAGAGGACATGAAAGAATCTACCAGGAAAATGAATAATGCATCTATCGTCTTCTTCTATTTGCTGCGCCAAGTCCCTGCTGTGTCACCTCCATGTTCTGAAAACAACAGCTAAACATAGCGGTTAAGTAAACTAGATGATAAGCAAAATATAAAATGATTTCACAGTTAGTTTGGTTTTAAATTTGTTTCGAAAAGTTGTCGTTTTTTAAACTGATTTCTACCTGCGACACATTTAGGTTTGAGGCGTGTGCATTTATGAACACAAAGTCATTAGGGCAATAACTGTTTCTTGGTATTTATTTGAATAAATTACATTGACTTATCACATTTTTTTCTTTACATCAAGCATACAGTCTTAGAATCCAGTGCAAGAACAAAAGAAACCAAAAAACGGAAAACAAACAAAACAAAAACAAACCAAAAGACAATCATGTGCAGCACAGAGAATCCCTCCTTTCACATTGCTTCTGGATAATATACTGTATATATACATCTATACTGTATGTGTATACTTTTGTCACAGTTACAAAAATAAGATACGTTACTGTAGATGCGCGACTATACACACAAGGTGAAAACAAAACACAGAAAAGCTGTACAGTCCTCATTGAGGGCAAAGATACACACGATTGTTAAAAAAAAAGTGAAAAGAGAAAAAGGAGGAAGGAATTGTATCGCCTTTAAAAAAAGTAAATACATGACCTTCAAACTGTATCATTATTCTTCCCCAGCCAACAAAGTATACTTTCTGTTCAAAGTTGTGCTTCCCTTTAAAAAAAACAAACACTTAATATGAGATATCAGTGGATTTTGCATCATTTATTGTAATTCTGCTGAATATAATGAATTGGTCCTTTGATTAAAGAGACCTCCATGTTTGTTTTAATGTTGAAAACTGTCAGAGACAGTATATCTTAAATACCTCAGCATCAGAGGTCCTCTGCAACCCAATCCCTGTGCATAATACGTACAGTATGCAGACCAAAATAAGCACCCCTCCCCCAAAATACACGCGCAACATTACTACATGATGGGTGAAAAAAATTGTTAGGTATTGTAAGGGTTAATACATTGTCGACATTGCAGAGAATAAAACTCCAGGGAAGTGCTCAGCTGACTAACATATGTGTACTGTAATAAGAGGTTGGTTTCTAGATCATCAGTACATCAGTTAAAGAAGGGACAAAAAAATCCCACACAATACTGCATACAACCATAAAGCTGGTTGGGGAAAATTAAACATAATGTATAATCTTAGAACCGAGCAATTATTCTGAGGTCTAACGTGACTTGAAAAGGGTAAACCAGCGGCTTTTAGTCCATATTATGTTGGAGAAAAGGGTTTTTAGTGTAAGTTGCATCATTTCAATTAATAAAACATTTCCACCGAGACAAAAAGAAACAATTTCTCATTCCATTCAGCCATTTGTGCGCTCCTTGGCTATGTCTAATTTCATCTTAATCAATGGCTTATAGACAGCTAAACTACAGAATACTAATCGGACTAATAGGGATGCAGTAGAAAGGGCTATGCCCTCAGCTGCAGAAAAAACAGTTGCCCCAATGAGTGTTTAAGTCCCATAAGTTATTATATCACAATACATCAACCATTTTTCACACAAGCTGCTGATTAAAATACACGTTGGAGGATTGAAACTTATGCACCATAGTTTTCTTACGTCACTTCAAACAGTTTAACTTCACAACTTGTGTTTTTGCAAATCATGTCATCACTCCACTAATCACTGGCTCAGATATGTAATGTCACATACTTAAGAATACAGTTTCACCCCCTCCTGATGAGAATACCAAAGAACTAGAGATTGCAAGCTTCACCCGGTTGCATCGAGCAGATTTACTGACACCATGCTGTCTTTAAATCTTGAAGCTAAAACTGGAGCTGATTCGGGTTTCTGCAGGTAACTTTGGTACCTAAATCACATACGACCAATCACACGCACATGTTGATATGTAAGAAATAAGAGATACTATGGATAATCTTGGTTGTTAGTTATGAGCTAGATGAATCTGTCTAAACTTTTGTCAAAACTCTGAATAGTTAAAAGGTAAAGACATCCTTTGGACAGACGATTTTTGAGCATGACAGGGACGTGGTTTCTCTAGAAACTGCCCGAGCATGCCAAGAGACGACTACCATTACACAGAGGAATATGTAAAACAAAACAAAATCTGCTTGACATTTTTTTTTTTTTTTTTATAAGATAAAACGTTAAACACTTGAAACCATGCTTGACCTAGAGTCTCTAACAAACATGGAGCACGTGGACCGATTATTTTTTTCTAGTATGTGAGAGAAAGGTTTCTATCTACTGTAGAGGTTTCCACAAAGTACAGTGAATGAGAGAAAGTGTGATTTTGTAAAGCTGCTCTGATAAACTCATGACGGACTGACAGCCAACATAAACTGAGACAAAGCCAGGACAGAAATGGATAAAATGACTATAGAAGCCTGAAGGTGCCTCCTGGGATAAGGGGAAGCAACGACATCAATGCAGATTTTTCCTCATTTAAAGTTTTTACGCTCAATTGGTGCATACTTGCTTTAATTTGTCATCAATCTTTGTTCGTATCTTCGTTCGTTATTGTGTTGTTGCTGTTTTTACTCCTTTAAAGTGGAGTACAGGTAGGAATGTTTAGGAAAAAGGTTACTGGGAATACTGGGAGGGAGGAATTGGAGGCGAGGATTTGTTTTGCCACCGTTGTAGACACACGCTGGTAGGGATGACGTCCTAGTGGGGCAGTGGCACCAGGATATCCACATAGTTGATTGGGAAGAAGCCAGAGTTGCCGTGCAGCATCCCCTCGTACCAGTTGTCATCGATCTTATTGGTCAGGGTGATAATATCGCCTTCCTTGAAGCCTAGCTCACCTTCATTCTCAGGGTCAAAATCGTAGAGGGCACGACAGCAGGGCTGGTCCATAGGGGCTGGACAAAAGTTTTAGGAGCGAGAAGAAAAGGAGAGTTAGAAGATAGGCTAGAGGAGGAGATAAAAAGCTGCATATACTGTAGATTAGAGACATAATGATCACAAGAAAAGCTTGTGAAAAGGCTCACCTGGAGACCTGGCTGGAAGGGGGAAAGAGAAGAGAAGGAAGAAAAGTGGAGGAGACAAAGCAAAAGAGACACAAAATATGACCATCAGTAACCAGAAAATAATAACGAGGCATTCAGCGTTTAAAGGAGCAGTTCTCCTTTTTGGAAAATACAATTAACTCTTTTTGGCAGAGTTATATAAGAGGATCGATACAACTCTCTTATCTGTCTGTTAGGGCTGCAGCCAGCAGCAAGCTAGCTTAGCTTAGCATAAAGACTGGAAAGTCAGTTTTTTGTGTGTGATGGGCTCATTGTTGCCCCTTGTGGTCACTGGAGGGAAAACAGGCACTACAACTGCAGATCTCACCAACTGTCGAGTCGAGGACAACGTCAGGGCTAGAGGAAGCAGTTAACCCTCCTCTGTCCAACCCTGACAAACCCGCCTACCAGCACCTCTAAAGCTAATTCAAATCAACAATTCACCATTCAGCACTATTTCTTGGCCTTGAGCAGTTGTCAGGCAACAAGCTGAGCCTCAAGGAAGTTACTGCTCCCAGCCAAGAATTAGTCCGGCACATAACGCCCCATAAAACAAATAAATTAGTGAGCTAGTGGGCGGTTCTGTTGCCTTTGGACTACAGCTGCCCAACGATAGTTGACTGGCTTTTCATTAGTCGGCTAGTCGCAGAAAAACAAAAACAATGTTAAACTCTGTTCGAGAGCTGTGCCTTGTCACCGGGATGAAAGCATCAGGGGATTGTTGCAACACGGACATTTTCTCTTGTAACACAGGGAGTCACTTACTAGTGCACTGCTGCATGGTGGTAACTGTACTAGCTGCGGTCACCAGGTAGTTATTTAGCCTATTAGCTGACTGTACCGTGACTGTGAGCTCAAGAGAGGGGGAGAGATTTGTTGACACCAATAGCACAGGAGCTTTGGATGCTGCCAGGGAGCGGGCCGGTATGAGAACCATAGCCTGAGTTGAGCGAGCAGGCGGCCGAACACAGACAGTTTATTTACAGTGGCTCCAACCAGGACTAGAGACGGCAGGTTCAGGAGAAGCAGGAAGTGGGAGAGGAGTGAGTTTGTAGTTAAAGTTATTTTAACTACTTTATAAATCATTCATTGTATCAAAAATTCTGTGAGTATTTGTTTTTGTGAAGCTGGAAGTTATTTATTACAAGTTTTGAATGAGACTTGTGTGAAGTAAATTAACTAAATGTTCAGTCTCTGCGCTGTTTGTTCTGACACATTCGGAGTCATTACCCTTTTTGTTCTCATTTAATAGGCTGCTGTTAAAATATACACTACCAGTCAAAAGTTTGGACACACCTTCTCATTTAATGGTTTTTCTTTATTTTCACGACTATTTACATTGTAGATTCTCACTGAAGGCATCACAATTATGAATGAACACATATGGAATTATGTAGTAGACCAAAAAGTGTGAAATAACTCTAAATATGTTTCATATTTTAGATTCCTCAAAGTAGCCACCCTTTGCTTTGTTGACAGCGCTGCAAACCCTTGGCCTTCTCTCAATGAGCTTCATGATGTAGTCACCTGAAATGGTTTTCACTTCACAGGTATGCCTTGTCCGGGTTCATTTGTGGAATTTTTTGCCTTCTTAATGGGGTTGGGACCATCAGTTGTGTTGTGCAGAAGTCAGGTTGGTACACAGCTGACAGCCCTATATGACAACTGTTAGAATTCATATTATGGCAAGAACTAATCAGCTAAGTAAAGAGAAACCACAGTCCATCATGACTTTAAGAACTGAAGGTCAGTCAGTCCGGAAAATTGCTAAAACTTTGAATGTGTCCCCAAGTGCAGTTGCAAAAACCAGCAAGCGCTACGACGAAACTGGCTCACATGAGGACCGCCCCAGGACAGGAAGACCAAGAGTCACCTCCTCAATCTAAAATAAATCTAAAAAACATGTTTTGAGTTATTTCACCCTTGTTGTTTACTACATAATTCCATATGTGTTCATTCATAGTTTTGATGCCTTCAGTGAGAATCTACAATGTAAATAGTCATGAAAATAAAGAAAAACCATTAAATGAGAAGGTGTGTCCAAACTTTTGACTGGTAGTGTATAATGAAATGGAAATCACAAAGAGTCGACGACTAGTTAACTATTGGCTTGAATTAATTACTTCTAGTATTAATAACAACCTCTACTCTGGACGAAGCCAAGCAAGAAGTTTCCCCCCACGTTTTCAGTCTTTATGCTAAGCTAGAATGAATCTGAGTCTGAGCGAATAAGCCAATTTCCCAAAAGTCAAACTATTTCTTTAATAGTTCAATAAAAGAAACATGAGCAATTTTATAAAACATAGGGACAAAAGAGAAAGCAGGGGTTAGACAGAAACAGCACTGCAGACAAGCTGCACTGCAAACAAAAACATACCTTCACAAAAGTCAATTTAAATAAGGATAAAAATAAGAGTGATAGAGAGATTTTACATCTCTTCCCAGGTCACTCTTGCTCACCTGGAGATCTTGCTGCAAAGGGGAAAGGAGAAAACAAAGGTGAACAAAGAGCAGTAGTGTTTATGTTTAATAGCATTTTTCTAGATGGATAAATGATGAATTGATATGGATAGTTACAGAAGGTGCAGCAATGAAAAGGTCAATAAACAAAGCAAGGAGAAACACAAGTTGGACACCAAATTGAAAAGAGCAGCAGACAGACAAAGAAACAGGAGGATAAGACGGACCAGAAGACTGACAAGTGAACAAAACAGAAAGAGCAAATGCTCGTCCACCGGTAAGCTTTTCATTGTTAGTGTAGGTCTGCATTCTTTGTACAGTAGACGGACGGCACTTGTTTTTCTGCTGTTTGTTTGTATTATTTGACCGCAACAATTTTCTCATAACAAAGAGACAAACAGAAAGAGAGATGGAAACCCATGAATGACAAAGTGATGGAAGAGATATGGTTATGGTTGTATCTCTCCGGAGATTCACTTTTGTCTCACCTGGAGACCTTGCTGCAAAGAGGGAAGAGGAGACAACACAAGGGAGGGAGGGGAAAGAAAGCAGTAGAAGTAGTTTTGAGTTTTAAGTGTAAATGAAAGGATGATAAAGAAATGAATTAATGAGCACAAAGACGGAGAAACATAGTGACAGATAAGACCTGGCTCACCTGGAGACCTCGCCCCTGGAAGAATTAACAAAAATCATAGGGGGAAAGAGAAGAGTGCAGAGTTGTATTACTTTGTTTTGGATTGATGGATATTCTGTTCAGTACAGGTAATAACGGAAATGTTTACACCGTAAATTCTCAAACATCTGCCTTTTTATGAAAGTGTGGTGCTTTTTTTGAAACGGGGTACTAATTACCTTATTTTCAACAATATTTTTATAGAGAAACTAAATTCTACTATTCTGCTTTTGAAAGACCCCTGTCAATATGGCCATGTGCAATATCGAAAATCGCAGAAGCTGCAATTTTCTGATAAAGGTAAAACGTTACAATGAAGCACTGTAGTTCTGAAGAGATGCCCTGGCCTAAGAATTTTCTTCTCTAGATTTAAGAAAACATGTTTGTTTCGTACAGAGCCCAAAAGATAAGACATCAATAAGATTTTAATATTTTTTTCATTGGAAATTAAATTTGTGATGCAAAAAGGATAATTTTCCACTACTTGTAAATCGTAACGCAATGACAATATCTGTCAAAATATTTGCAATATGATGTTTTTACCATATAATGGAGTCCTATTTGGAATCTCTCTAAACACCAAAGAGACCAACTAACTAATAACACCACTCTTCCTGATCAACTCCCATTTATGGTATTCATTTATTATTTTAGCTGTTTGTTATTCATGCAAATAAAGCACACTCAAGACAGAATGTTTCACATTAAAAGGCTTCTAGCACATTTATCTTGCCTGGAAGGCTTTTATTGTGAAACATCTCTGGGAAATATTGTATTTCAGTTTTTGTATTTTAGCCCTTCACTCAGATTATTTGTGTAAACTTAGGTTTGTATTTTGTTTGAAACTTCACTGTTGGTAGGATAAACTGTTGTTATTGGGGTTTATCAGATACAAAGTGTAAATGCCTTGCAGTATTCTTTTTTCTCTCTTTTTTTTTTTAAAATCAAGTCTATTTTTTTCCAGAGCTGCAAGTAAAATTCTCACATCTACATGCACACAGCCTAATAATGATTACATTCCTTGTTTCTGTGGTTGACAAATACATGCACAGTGATGTTTAGAAGAAACATTTTCTGTAAAATAAAATAAATTCTACTCGATTTGAACTGTTATTTATGGGCTGTGGACAAATTAATGTAGTCAACTGGCCCAAACCACAGCTTATATGACCATTTGTAGGCAAGTGCTGTTCTGTATTGTCAAGAAAACCTCCTGGAAAATGTCCTGGAAAGGTCCTGGAGAATGATTTGGTTGGAAAACTTTACCCTGTAATGCATTATGATACATCACAAGCATCAATACTGGCTTGTATTTGAGAATTTACAGTAAAAATGAAAAGCATAGAAAGGGTTGTTAAAGGAAAAAAGATAATGAATTAGTAGAAACTAGTCAAGAAACTATCCGTTACAGGCAAATACTACACTAGTTTTTTATTGTTCTGTGAGTTGAAACTCATCAGAATCAGGATTTAGTAGTAGGTTTTCATATACAAAAAAATTCCCACTGAGATACCACAATGCATATGAAGCACCAGGACTAGTTTCTGGACATGTTTCTGAGCAATGAGGTTTGCATTCGGTGTCTCACCTGGAGAGCGAGCACTGTGGATGCCTCCATTGTGGTTCTCACTGATGGAGAAGTCCAGAGACGTGCGTGGTTTAGGAGCGAACTCTTTCCTTGGTTTGACAGTAGTGTCCCTTATCCTGCAAAGTGGAAAACACAGAATCCCTCAATGTACAAAAAAAACCTATACAACATTTTATATGATATTGTAAATACATCCAATAAGGTATGGTAAAACAAGACGACCCAGTGAAACAGTAAGTGTGAGTACTAACCGTTCGTCAATCTTACTGGACAGCTGTGTGAGGATCTCAGCAGCCCGACTGTGGTACTCCACCTGAGCATGCACCAGTGCAGCGAGCTGGCTCACCTGTTCAATCTGTTAAATATACACAGGGTCTACTGTTACATACTGACACCAATGACGGCTGGGACACACCACCCATAAAATGTCCATTGTAATTAGATTTTTATACCACAGTGTTCATTTTCTTTCAGTGTTTCTGAACAGAGATGTTTTACTGTTTACTGCCAAGGGACTACAGATAACAGTAAATTAGCTAATAGCGAACTGTGGTGCTGCTCAGTAGCTGTCCTTGTCAAATAAACAAACAAACAAACAAACAAACATGTGAATGAATGAATGAATAAATAGCATTAGTAGCTGTTCTGTAGCTTTCAATGTTATCACACAATCTTCCCCAGTAGATGATCTTTGCAGAGTTGTTTTAGGTCCTTAAAATGCTCATTGAAATTGCAATTTGAACATCTACAATTGGACAAACTTCATCTGCTGAGGAAGACCGTGACATAGAAAGCTCCAGAACAGCTACTTATGTATGTAGCCAGGACAGTGACTTTAAAATTTGGCATCCAAAAAAAAAAATTGGCATTGAAAACAAAACCAGTACTGAAAAAGGAAACATTGGCACTGAAACATTTGTATTGAAAACAGTTGTATTGGCATTGAAAATTGCATATAATTTGCATATCGGCATACTGAAGAAGTACGTCTCTTTTCCCGGAACCCGCCGTCTGCTCTGAAGCCTCTGGTATGGTGGCATTACTAAAATGTCCTGTTCACCGGGAACTTCCAAACCGCAAGTAAGTCTGTTTTTTTTCCTCTGCCATTTACATGTTTATTCACATGCACAAAAACATACTTACTTGCATACTAGAGATGTAGATATGTACTTCTTCAGTATGCTGATATGCAAATTATATGCAAACCACGCTGTACTTGCCCCTCCCTCAGACCCCTCCTCTCAATGCCAAAACAGTGACAGAAAGTTGAAACTGAAAATCAGTGACAGACATTGTAAAAAAAAAATCTGTCACTGAAAAAAGAGTGACTGAAGAGTGAAGATTGTCATTGAAAAATACAAAAAAATCCCAATAAAATAAAATAATACGATTTTAAGATTTTAATTATTTTAATTTGTTTCTTGTTTCACTGCCAATACAACGGTTTTCAATACAAATGTTTCAATGCCAATGTTCCCTTTTTCAGTACTGGTTTTGTTTTCAATGCCAATTTTTTTTTTTTATGCCAAATTTTAAAGTCACCGTCCTGGCTCCATACTGATGGACCCTGTGGTGAGATTGTTTAGCCAACACACATCACCATATATACCTGAGGCTAGTATTTCGCTTTATAAAGTCATTATGCAAATAAATTGCCACATTCAGTAGACATAGAAACATTAGCACCTAATGTAGTCATGTTTCAGTCCATCTGGTGAACATAAAACCAACAATCACTTGATCAATTGTTTTTCTTGAAAAAAAAAACAAAAAAACATTGTGTAGTGGTGATTTAATGTAGCATTTTAAGATTTGTTTCGATTGTAGAATATATATAAGGACTTCCAATAAGAACAGGGTCAGAACTCACGTTGATTACCATGGTTTGAGAAGATCAAAAGGGAAATTGGAATGGCAGTAGGCCACAGGATAAGTAAAAACTGCACAACAGTACTGTTGTAATTGGTCAGGCTTAGTCAAAGTCAAGTAAAATGATCCTTACATCACTCTCCAAGAGGTTGAACATGCTCAGTTCAGCAATCTCCTTGGAGTCGTCGAATTTCTCTAATGCTTGTTTGAGCTCGTCCTCTGTCACTTTGGCCTGACGTTTCTTCTTATAATCAAAGTCCAGGCGGCGACCCTCCATTTTCTTCAGGTGATGCTGCAAAAAAAGACCAGAAATCTGAATCCTTGACCAAAAGATGACTTGTAGATGTTTTTATTTATTTTTTTGGTGCATCAAAGTTCTGCACTCGTACCTGGATCTCCTTCAGATCTTTTTCATGCAGGTTCTGCAGTGGATCGATGAAGTTTTGCTTGACCTCCATGTCCAGGGCGTCCTTAACCTCACCAAGCTCACGCATGGCCTCCCCAGCATCAATCAGAGCAAGGCCTGAAAGAATAAAGACACATTTAGACACATGAACAACATACAGCAGTCAGTGTATAGTGTAGAAAAAGGTCTCCCGTCATCTCCCGTAACACTATCTCATTAGAGTTTGAAGACAGGTATTTCTCTTTAAACAGCATTTGAATGCTTTTACTTGTGAACTAAATAACAAAACAAATTTCAGGCATCGTGTCTGGAAAATAGGCTCATGCATTTTTCATAACACTGTTAGTGCAACCTTGAGGGAATAGAATAAGGCCACTTTGTTCTTGTGAAGTATAAAAAAAAAAGTAAAAAAAATAGGGCTTGTGCTTCTCTTTCTGTGAGAATCCACAGCAGCTCACCGAAGTTAGACTCCTCTCCGAGCTCCCTGCCAAACCTCTGCATGGACTCTCCCAGGATGGTCTCGGTCTGTGTGTAGCCCGGTCCCTTCTCCTGTCCCCGCATACGTGACATGGAGTTCATCATGCTCATCTTGGCTCTGGTGGCTGTGAAGGCAAAGCACAAATGAAACCAAACAAATGGAGACACCAAACTGACTCAAAATGCTTGATTGTGGTTTGCAGATGATTTCTTGAGTGAGTTTCATTCTTTTTAAACAGATACCACAGTAATGGGATGAGCTAATATTATTTGATATAAAATATTTAGTTGCACTATTACAGATTTGATTTGGTTTTTTTTTGCTATTTTTAGGTATTCTTGATGCTATTTTAGAGTTTGCCATTTTCTGAAAAACAATAAAAAGTTGTTGATGACTCATCCAGCACTCGGAGGTATAAACCCATTTTGTGTCCAATCAAATACTTTCTTGCTCATGATGCTGCCGGAGCAGAGTGTTTCTGAGAGCAAGGTGCTACATACATCTATGGCTGGGCCTAACTGATTACTGCACAAACGCACTTTATGTGCGAACTTAATTCATTGATTTTGGTGAAACTGGATCATATATATGGAGAAAATATTTCCTCGTGTTCACTCTGATGTCCTCTGGCTGCTAAGCTTCAACTCTTTGTGATCTACAGAGTATCCTGATGGACAGGTTGCTTTAACTAGCGGCTGAAGTAGCTAACTGCTAATTAACTGCTGCTAACTGTATTTGATGCTCTGCAGCCTCCGAGACCTTCAAAACACAAGAACTAGTGACACAAGTCCAGCTGGTTATTATTAAACTAACTCCAGCCTGGTGTTTCCCCCCTCACATCTTCCCCTGTCTGTGACTGAAAAGACATTTCTATTTTAGTTTCTCCCTGACATCACGATGTGCTGCTGTGTTTAATTACAGCGAGCGAAAGCACGATGTTATCGATCAGTCAATTACACCTACTGAGCTCAATCAGACAGGTTCTGAAACATCAACATCTCGTGTTGTGATAAATTTAGTTATCAGATGATGGGTCTAAACAGTCAGATCAATCCTTAAATACGGGGTCTTTGCTGTGTAGTTTTCCCCAAAGCTTAATAGTTCAAAGTAATAACTAAATGTAAATATAGAGGACAATAAAAAAGGGAACTCATTACATCTATGTTCTTAAAACAATACTACTACAGTATATTGGTTGAATGTGGCTGTAAACATTTGTTATTGCATTGTTAATAATATATGATGTGATATGGTATGGTATGTATGTGTATGAATGGGTGTACAGTATAATAATAATATAATCCTCATGCACAGCTGATTTATGTCACCTGGGTTTGGCTGCAGATACTCAGTAGTCTTGGTCATGATGTCCAGCACCGCCCGAGCGGTGGTGTCCATCCTCTGTAAACCACAACGTAGAAAAGACACGTGGAAGGAGACAGAAACAGAAGGTGCAGAAATAACCGTTAAGAAAACATGTCGATAGTAACAAAAATGGTTAATGGTTAAAAGACGGTGGGAGAGGATGACAGAAATATTACAGCAGTAAAAACAATTTATGGATCTATGAACTTGTCATCTGACGAGAGAGAGAAAAAAACAGGATAAAAGAAAGTTTTGCTTTGTTCTGCAGAATATCTGTGTGAGAGAGAGACGTGCAGAGTATAAGACACTCATATGTATTGTTGCTCACATATGGAAAAACATACATTATGTTATTCAGGGCACTTATATTTTCAGTCATATATACATGTGTGAGCATATACAACACGCACACACTTACACAAAATATATGATATAAAGGTATTACCATGGATGAAATCTTAGTTTCTAGCTCTCAGCCAGATGTGCAAGAATATTAAGATGCTTTTATTTCATAAAGTAGAGAAAAACCAGGTTTTAAGATAAAGGCAAGTTGTCATTTTCATCTAACTTCTTGTTTTACCTTTATTTATTGGGGAATATTTGCTACAAGGCAATCCCTGAGCAAATACACATTTACACACATTCAAAGCTGGAAGCTGACCAGTACAACCACAGTCTGAGCAGCTTCACAGGAGCAGCTGGGGTTTCAGTAACAAGCCCACTTCTCTAACCTTTAACCAGGAGTTTACAACTTTCCAATTTATATTTAACTTCAATTGTTTGTTTTTTTCACCAAAGATTTGGTGCCTCTAACAGCTTTTTAGGGAGCCATGTTTACCACAGAATAACCAGCGAGTGTTTCTGTGAACAAAATGTTAAGAAATGTTTTAGATCCACTGAAACTGAGAAATACCTTCTCAGAATAGGTTTAATAATGCAGAACAACACTGGTGGATATATACTGTTTCTGGCTGCTGTTATATTAACAATGCATCTTCACAAGTCTGTTACTGACATTTTGATAATCTTATGGTGTACTAATAATGAGCCTTTAATTCTCTACAAGGTCATAATGGGGACAATTATGCAAGGAGTTCAGGCTTGCCTTTTCCATCTCAGTGAAGTCCTCATCGAGCTTCGTTCCTTCTGCACCTCCAACTTTCTCGCTCACTTTCTGCAAAACAAAAACAAAAAAAAAAAACATGTTAGGGTTAGGGATGGTGCACTGGTTCCAAATATGAAAAATAATGCTGCTAATTCCAGACAGGTCCATCAATTTCTAACTCTCAGAAGATTTGTCATTTTGTCATACTGATTGTCAAGAGCAACATCAGTATGTTATGTATGTATTTAAAACAGAAGCCTGGCTCGTTTATGAGACGTAAAATAAATAGTCAGATGCTGTTCTATAGTAAATTACATGTTAGGTGATATGTATGTTTCAGTGAGGGAGTGTTTTGCTCTGTAAGCACGTGCAGTGTGAACTAGCTTGTGTCTGCAACATCACAGAGTCACAACGTCTCTGTTCCAATTAAGATCATGTCAAACAACAAATATACAAATATCAGCTTGATTGTACTGCGATGTGAACACCAACACCTGCACCCACGGATAACAACATCAGCAGTGTGTTAGTGATCTTTACACCAGTCTTAATTATCTGTAGTGGAATAAAACTGCATTAATGTGTTATTAATCGTTGCAAGTAAGGATATTTGTACGTACACATTTTTATGCACATACACCCAATAACTCAGTCTAGACTTTATACAGAAGGCAGTCTGCTATCGAAAGAGAGAGCGAGAGAAAGAGGAAGAGATAAAGTGTGGGCAGCAACAAGCTAAAGGCTCTTATAGCTTCAGACATGGCACAGATCCATGTGCATGGACATAAAAAGAGAAATAACTCCTCTGGGTTCCCGTCCCCTCACTCTGTGTCTCTCTCGCAGTCTCTGTCTGCTGATAATATTTCCAACTCTGCCACCATCAAGCTCCACTTTGTGATGTAACCAGATGGCTTGAGGGAGCAGCAATCTGACGCAACGAGGCCAGACACGGCCCTCAGAGGATGGACTGAGGCAGGAAAAAAGGCTTTCAGGGAACGTCACAACGCGTGACCAAAGAAACCGCAAAAGCTAAGGTCAGTGGATGAAGTCTGACCTCTAGTAAAATACAGAAAAATCACACTATGCACGCACTTCTTGCAATGAAAGAATTTCTCCTGAAAATCCTGAAATACGGAAGTAGAGTCAGCGAGGAAAGTGAGACATATCTTTCCAGGGGTAAAACATAGAGGGTGATCTGTGACAGACAGAGCAGGGGGGGTTATAAGACTAAGCCTGTGACAGTAGTTTATGCAGTGTGAGACTTTCTGAGGATTGGTGCTCTATGAGTCATCTTAGCAAAGTCTCTTCTGATCCCGCTTGAATCAGCTCAATATACTGACAGCAATGCAAAACACACACACGCACACACACGCACACACACACACACACAGACACACAGCACACACACACACACACACACACACACACACACACACACACACACACACTTCCTGTCATTAGTTTCACCTACACATCACTACAATGTCTTCAAATCCTCCTTGAGCTGGTTGCCATGGAGACAGGTAGCTGTCCGTTCCTGGCTTATCAGGTATGGAGTCTACGTCACAGCATCTGTAACTTCCTGTTATTTCTCTCACTAATTTCAAGAGAAAGAGAGAGAAAATAGGGGAAACTAACCTCATTTGATGGACAATGATAAACCGAATCGTTAAGATGGAGGTGTTTGTGTAAAACGTACAGCTGTAAAATAGCAAAAGTGTAGTGTACATGTCGGATGGGCAACTAACTTATGTGTTGAGTGCTTGTGAGCCACAGCTGTGACACCACGAGCGATGTACATAGTGACACTTCTGGTGTTCATCCAAGCTGTCTAATCACATACTGTGCTATTTTACACCTGGGATACAAAATGAGCGCAGTAATCAGTACCTGGGTTCACATGTATACATAATGTGGATGTACAAAAAAAGATGGCTGATATAAAACTGTATAAAAACTAGAAGCACATATGCTTTAACCAGACCAGACACAGGCTTTAATGAGTCATCTGAGCTGAGATACATGTACTTCTTGTTAAAAAGGAGATGGATAACATCAAAGGGACAATTTCTTTTGGAGCTCTTTTTTTCTAATCATATCTAGAAGTGCATAACGGCTGGACGTAATAACAGTCACTATTTTGGTGCTGTTAGAGGATATTGCCAATTATTCTTTCTCTATAGAGAGAATTAGTCTGATATTCTGATCCAAGATGATGAGAAATGTTCCACACCAGGTAAAACAGACTCGGGTACAAAAACAGCTTCAAGATGACTAAGATTTATATAACAGAATAAATTGTTTTTAAAAGGGGTTTGTACATTCGAGGAGGAGAGTTGGTTACTTAGTTTTGTGTTTATGATCTATATAGAAAGCTTTACATTAGTGCTGAAACTAAATCAACAGCCTGCATACTGTTACGTGCACATCCAGGATGTGAAGGCAATATATGCAAAATTGTGTTCAAGAGTGATTAATTTGAGAGTATAAATAACTAATTTGTACAATACTAATAGTATACAATGTATACAAATCAGGGCTGCAACTAACAATTTTTTTTTTTTTTATCCTTTAATACTTGGAAGCTGTACAGACCATTTATGGACAGAGGAAATTGGAGGCATTAGCAGAACTCTAAGCTCTTAGCCTTAGACATATTGGACCTCACACAGCTGCGCATTTATGTCACTTCTCATGGCTTGTTTGAGCACAAAACAGGCCTAATTTGCCCACACTCTTACAATAATTACACCATGAATAATTTTTAATTACATTCATTAGATAATAAAAATAAGTAGAATGTGGAGGTGGTAATAATTGTCAAACTGGTACTCAGAATTAGTGGGAACTGGCCTAATGTAAGCACACAACAGTATAGGAACTGGAGGAGACCTGAGGTGATGTAGAAAGATCTCTAAATTCAACCAAATCTTATTTGTGTGTCCGAGTCTGTGTGTGTCCCACATCTATGACTTCTTTGGCTTGGAGACAGACAGAGGCTCGGCAGTCAGAGAGAGTAGAAGACAGTTATTTCTTAGGCTAAATGGATGAAAAACAACTTTATCAAGCAGTGCCTGTGGGGATATGCGTATAGCTTTGCAGGGAAAGAGCAACTGAATGAATAAAAATGAGCTGTTGGTGGCTGTTTTGAGTAAGTGGAACAGTGCTGCTGTGCACGCTGCTGCCCATGGCTGCTGTCAACGCGTGTTCAACCCCCAGACACTTGCAAAGTGGAGAGCAAAGACAGAGTTGGTGTTGTGCTTTGATGGCTGCAAGCTGAAGAGACAGCAATTGAGTGCAGTGATGGAAGGGAGATGCATGCCAGGATGAACACACACACACACACACACACACACACACACACTCAGAGACACTAAAGGACTATATAGCTTGTCACAGCCAATAACCATAGGACTAATGATTGATCCTCTCCTCACAGTGACTTACTACACACCAAGCTAATGTGACCCAAGCTACCAATCTACACTAGTGCCCAAGAATCCAGCGATCTAAAACCTCCTGGGAAACCAGCAATGTGCTTCCACAAGTAACTGATCTCTTTGTTGAGTGAGGGACAGATTATGGGGACACAACCATCCTCACCCTTTTCTTTCTCCACACATCGCTCTCACTCTCTCTTAGCCCTCCCACTCCTCTCCCTCATCCTCCCTGCAGGGGAAGGACACGACAAGGTGAACTGAGCAGCAGTGGCAGCAGTGGGAAGCGAACCTTACAGGGATGAGTAGAATGCGGAATTAGCTGCCGGGAATATAATAGCAGTGGCGTAGATGATATGTAACCTGTGACGTCGCAAGCTCATGCACTCGTAGTCGTAGAAGACTGTCGGTGCTGATGCACGCTAGTAAATGCAGAGCTGATGCGTGATGACTCTAGACAAAGCGGCAATGCAGGGATAAGGTTTCACTGCAGAGCTTGGGCCGGGTTATTCCTAATATGTTGGAGCCATTGTATTCTAGGCTACTTTAATATGATTTAATTTAAATATCCCCTCCAGAGAGATAAAATATGCTCTGCTTTGGATTAATTTGTGCCTGAACAAAGTTCAAATAACTAAAAGAATTCTTTAAAATATATTTACTTCCTCCCTCAATCCAGAATCTATGAATATGCAAATAGTGGTCATTTCAAAGGTGTACTGCTGAACACAAGATGTCTCCCAATTCCCTGAAGAGTCCATTCTCCATTCAAGTTTCTAGGTCTAGTTTTCACATCACATTTGTGTAAGCTGCAAATAAACTACGACTGGCTTCCAAACAAGTTGTGCTGTCACAAAACTGTGCTCGTTCACATCTTAAACTCAGATTTAATGTGATCACAGAGACACTATTAGCAGATGAATGTGAAAACAACCCTCTAGTATCAAACTCTCAATCTCAATCATCCAAGTGACGTAACAATAAGCAAAACACATTTTTTGCCAGGAGGGGAACGCTAAATGGTTATGTGCAGAGAGGAATGAAGCCAACGGGACAAACAAAATCCTCCCTAGTATAAAAAAATATCATATTCAATCAAGTGTAATCATAAACCTCAGGGACAGGATAAAAAAAAAAAAAGTAAACAAGAAACTGCAGCCATGCTGGCAGCCCTGGGGGGGTTGTACTGAGGCACAGCAGTGAGCTAAATACTAACATCAGCATGCTAACATGCTTACAATGACTATCTCAATATGCTGATGTTTAGCAGGTGTAATGTTTACCATATTCAACAGCCTAGGTTAGCGTGTTAGCATGCTAATACTAGTCACTAGTTATTGTCACTAAACACAAAGTACAATTAAGATAAAGATAAAAAAAAAGATATTTTATATATAAGGGTTGCTGATCGTTCAGCAAAGAGAAAAAGTAGGAACAACAATAAAATACAACTACACACAGAAAACCTTCAGGTCTAGTTCACATAAGGCTTTCCTCCTCACTTGCATTTTTCTCTCCAACTGGCAGCCATGTAAACCAAATCAGACCAGATTAAAGATGCTAAATGTGGAGAGAGAAAATAGCCTCGAGATCATGCCAAAGGCTGCTGGGCGTCCTCCCTCCCTCCTCTCC